CTAGCGCCGTGGAAGCGGATTTCCATATACAAACAGGAATTTGAACTTATCGAGGATATGAAAAAGGAAGCGGGGGAAGGAGATTGCCCCGTGACCCGTTCCGCTTTCAATGAAATCAGGGATCACCAGTTCCAATAAAAAAAACAGCCTTAGGCGAAGACAAGAGTACTCCACGGGGATAAGGGGCCCCCGGGTAGAGTGAAGTTTATAGGATGAATTACGATATGGCTGGAGGGAAGCAGAAGTAGCTCGAGCCAAAGGCGACAGCGAGGCCCCCAGCAATGGGGGGAAGCGGGCTTCTTTCACTTGCGTTTTGGAGAGAGCCGGCCTACGAATTGATTATCGCCGTGCACGATTGGGAATAAAATCAAAGGGACTAGCGGACTTTTTCATATCGTCGTTAGTTTGCTTTGGTTTGGCTTTTTTCCGGGGAGAGGTACGAAGTCACTAGAGAATTCGTTTCACTATGTGAAACTCATTCGACTGAAAGGAGAGGTGAGCCGGTTACCTTTAAGTGAGGAGACAGGTCGAGCTTAGAGAAGTTCCATACCTTCTTGATCGAGTCAATTGCCTTGCTTTTACACTTGAGATTGGCTTTGTGGATGCTAATAGTGATCGAAGCTTCCTGCCTGGTATCTGATTGGATGCACTGGCCAGGCTATCTCCTAAGTAGAATAGAATAAGAGAGACTTGGCTCTATGTAGGCTCTTTCTGTCCTGGACATCAATCGGTATTCTATATTTCTATATGATGTGATGTTGCTAGTTCAATCTGCTAGTTAGACTAGTAAGAGAAGCTGCGGTGAATGAATCCTTCTTAGCTAAGGAATGTTTGATTCTAATTGTCCAGTTCCGGTACGTAGACCAGCCAGTAACGGTGGGCAGGTTATAGATAGAATACCAACTCATCATAAAAGAAAGAACCCAAATAATCAATCCTTCGCATAGTGCGTGCCATGAGGCTACTTAGTTCCCTAATCCGATGTTGGGGTAGGTCAGAACTCAGAGCTATTTCATTCCCTGGAGATGTGTCAGTTCCGAGTGAACTTATTTCTGTCATAAGAGCATCTCGTTCTATTCCTTATGCAAGCAAGTTCTTTCTCCTTTCAAAGGCAGGAAGGACAGATTACTTGATAGCAGCCTTAGCCTAACCTAAACAATAATAAAAATAAATAATAAATCAATAAGGTAGGATTAGCATCCCCATTCTGAATAGTTCATGCATGCAGTAAATCTTCTTTTTTATTAGACGGGAGCATATTCCAACTCATCCGCTAGGTCAGCAACCGTCCTAAGGT